CCCTATATAGTACACTACTCTTTGCCAGAGCACTATGGGCCCTGGTCAAAAGTAGCGCAATACTGAATAGGGAATAGGCTGCCATTTGGGACACACTCATCGGTTTCTCTCCAGTACAATGGGCCCCTGCCAGGCCCAGGGCTCTCCTCCCACTCACCCCCAGAGCACAGAGCGAAGGGCCCCCTCCACAGACACAAACACACTCCCCCTCCTCTGATTCAATTAGTCTGGAAGGAGCAACAGGGGCCCTCAGGACAATATTTTCATAGCAATAAGAAAAACCTTGTTTATGGACCTCCACCAAACAAATCTCTGTCTCCAAGCCAGCTTTACATTTAAATCACTTAGCAGACACTCTTATCCAGTAGTGAGTGCATACACTTAGGTACTTTTTCATACTGAACCCCCGTGGGAATCAAACCCACAACCTTGGCATTGCAAGCACCATGCTCTACCAACTGAGCCACACAGGATGACTATTATAAAGCCCCCTGAGGACTACATACGTACAGTCGGGCCAAACTTTAAACTTTTCAGCGACACGGTGACAGACTATAATAATAAAGAAATAAATACCTGGATGCCTTTGGGTTACTAAATCAAACATGTTCAGAACTTGTATAGGTAATGTAGTGTATGGTTGGGTCAGTGGGGGAACCAATAACAGGCTCCAGGGTATGTGACATAGCTGTGCCTTTGGGATCAGAGACAGAGCTTCAGTCTTTTCATATAAAGTTCTCTGTCTGTGAATGATAATGCAGATCCCAGAACACATGCAGTACAGTACAGTAAAGCCCTATGATAACAATGAGTGTGTTGGTGGAAGGGGTGAATATGTCCCCTGGGGCAGTAACCACAGTGGATGACAGGATGACAGTGGTTTTCAGGTAGGAGAGGAAGAGAACCACTGGGGGGGGGGGGGGGGGGAGGGAGAGAGAGAGAGAGAGAGAGAGAGGAGAGAGAGAGAGAGAGAGAGAGAGAGAGAGAGAGAGAGAGAGACTTTGTGGAGAGTCTGGAATCCACAGCTAGGCTGGAGTTTCACAGGAAGCATAAATTAAATCATACGATTTCTGGATCACCTTTAAAGATTTTCCCAGCATGCCACAGGGGCGTCCTCAGAGCACACAGTCAGCAGACAGACTTCTGGGATTGGACCAGGAAGGAGAGTCAACTATACTATAGTCACCACTCTGGATCAGACTGGATCTGAGTCACAAATGCCCAGGGCACTACTTATGACCCTATTCCCTTTGTAGTGCACTACTTTTGACTTGGTCAAAAGTAGTGCACTACATAGGGAATAGGGTGCCATTTTGGACACACTGGTTCAGCCAGTGATTCAGCTTCAACAACACTTGCAAAAAGCCTGTGTTTGTTTTGTCTTCAAGCAGCTTTGGGTGGATGACGTTGGAAAAGTTACAGCTACCATATTACTTATATGGTAATGAACTATTTTTACTGCTATAAACACACCCTTTCTCTTCACTTATTTATGATGAGACATTAGCCACCTTTGAGAAACTCTATGATGTGTTTGGGACACATGGTGGTCCTGCGTGGCCCAGTTGGTACAGCATGGCGCTAGCAACGCCAAGATTGTGGGTTTGTTTCCAACTGAGGCCATCCATACAAATATGTATGCACGCTTTAGATAAAAGCATCTGCGAAATGGCATATATTATATTTTACTTTGTGCTTATGGTGCAGACCGTACCTGTATCCACTCTTTGTTCTTATGGTGCAGACCGTACCTGTATCCACTCTTTGTTCTTATGGTGCAGACCGTACCTGTATCCACTCTTTGTTCTTATGGTGCAGACCGTACTGTAATCCACTCTTTGTTCTTATGGTGCAGACCCGTACCTGTATCCACTCTTTGTGCTTATGGTGCAGACCGTACCTGTATCCACTCTTTGTGCTTATGGTGCAGACCGTACCTGTATCCACTCTTTGTTGTTGTCCTCTCCTGGTGTCCATGCGTTCTCATAGTAGTTGAGTCTGGCCTCGCCCCGGGGACCGCCAGGTTGTACTGGGACGAAGCTACGATCTGCTGCTTGATGCTATCTCCCCTGACTCCATACCCAAGGGCTGGACATCCAAGTCTGATAGATAGAGAGAGAGAGATAGAAGAGAGAAAAGAGAGAGAGAGGAAGAAGAAGAGAGAGAGAGAGAGAGAGAAGAGAGAGAGAAGAGAGAGAGAGAGAGAGGAGAGAGAGGAAAGAGAAATGAGGCGAGAGATTGTCCGCTCTCTCTCTCTCCTCTCCTCTCTCTCTCTATCTTTCTCTCTCCTGAGCCTTTTTTCTCTCAGAAGGGGAGAGAGAGATTGTCTAAATTTAGAGCTGAAAGCACCATCCAGGCGTTCCAGGCCAGAGCACACAAAACAGAGCTGGTCCCTGGGGAGAGGGACACTCAGTGGCAGGGTCTGGCACTCTGGTGGCCGGAATAAAGAGCCACGTCAGTGCTGCCTCAGCGGATCCTTGCTTCCGCTCCCTCTCTCCCCCCACCACACGCAGAGGCTTTAAAAGGAAGGCAAGCACAGTGGAAGTGTGGTGCTACCTGAAGACATAAAGCTTTAGTCATAAAACATTCAGTGTAGGGCTAAGTTCGCTGTAAACTTGTATGGAAAAGAGAAACTATTATGCATTAGAGTTGAGCCAGTAGTTTTTCTCTGGTGCTGGTTCATCTCTCCTTCAAAGCTCCCTGTAGGCAGTTTATGTGTTTTGCACATGGTGCACATTTCTTATTGTTGTCCCTCGGGGTGTTAAGGCACATTTAGTGTCAGTGTTCTGGGCCGTAAATCTCCCAAAATGCCCTGTACCACCCAGGATAGAGGGCATCTCCTTGTTTGTGTTGACATGGTGCTGCCGTCCAGGGTCAGCCAGTGTGTGTGTGTGTGTGTGTGTGTGTGTGTGTAAGTATACAACCACCGGCCAGGTCAAGAGGTGAGCTCTTCTTCCGCCATACTCCGTCATTCCCCAGAGCCCCATATGTAGCAGAGTTGTCTGGACGCTGACCCTATGACCCCCAGAGGTCGGACCCTGGCCCCAGTCTGACCTTGCTGTCTCTAGTCACCCACCCGCATGCACGTGCACACACACACACACACACACACACATTAAGGCAGGCACACACAGTTGCGTATTGCGTATACCAGCGCTGTTCAGCATCTCAGAGACACAGGTCTGAAAGGCATCAGGCAGATGGAGAGACCATCTGTTTTAGCTCATAGACAATCCCTGACTGCCGCACACACTACACCCTACTCAATACTGCAGAGAGCGGGAGAGAGAGAAATATACTTTTTATTGTTTATTTCACTTTTGTTTCTCCATTTCACTTGCTTTGGCAATGTAAACATATGTTTCCCATGCCAATAAAGCCCCTTGAATTGAATTGAGAGAGAGAGATGGAAAGACAAGAGGGAAAAATAAATATATTAAAAAAACTCCCTCCACTCTTTTCTTCTCTCTCAAAGACCCCCTTCTTCTTCTTCTTCTTCTTCTTCTTCTTCTTCTTCTTCTTCTTCTTCTTCTTCTTCTTCTTCTTCTTCTTCTTCTTCTTCTTCTTAAACTCTTAGAGGAGGAATCTGAATCTCTCCATAAACATCAACCAGACCCAGTTGATCTTCTATCTGCGCTCTGACTGTAACAAAGAGTCTCTAGTTTTCAGCACTGACGTAAATGTGATCATGTGTGCTGCTATCAGCTATCAGCCTGCATTTTAAGCAGCAGCCCATTCTGTGAAATGTGGCGCAGGGTGATCAGGGAGATAGTAGGGAAGTGTTCTAAATGGCACCCTATTCCATTTATAGTGCACTACTTTTGACCAGATCCCTATGCAGCCTAAATCTGGGCTGTCAGGGAGAGAAGACAAGCCTGCTTCATCACCATCAAAGCAACACCTTATCCCCCCTATATAACCCCCTCTCAACTGAAGTGTACAAGTCTTATAATATGGAAAAAGGAAAACCTAAATATTATACATCAAAGGGCGTATTAATACATACCTACTAGAGTATGGATAAAAACTGCCAGAGACTTGATCTATCTTCTCTCTGATATGAGGATTCATTCAGCAAAGGTCGTAAGCTGCCAACTGCATAATTAGGTAAGTAGGACAGATGTCAAATAATGCAGTGACTTGATGAGTTTATGTTGGTGGATTAGTGTTTTGATTGTATCTGTCCCGATCTAATAAATGTAATACTGTTGGATTAGTGTTCAGTCTGAACCCATGTTATGTTTATGTTGCCATGGTGCTGAGCTGTAGGGACTATAGGGACTAGTGACACAGGCAGTCATTGCTGTATGTGGCTGTGCTCAGGCTCTGTGTGAGTCTATCTAGGGACCTTAGCACACATGCATATCACTACTCCCCACGGGGGACCTAGCACCATCTGGGATGATTAGTGTTTTTTTAACACCAGTCATCGCCATAACAACCTGACGGTGGGGGGGGGGTGACTGGAGGGGTGGCTTGTGGAAAGATTTATGGGCTTCGCGGTGGTTGTGTTGTGAAATGTTTAGTCGGAGCATTTCTCAAATTGGGGTCATGGGTGCCAGGCCCCAGGATGAAGATGATGCTGTGTTAGTGGCTGGGACACTGTCTGGAGGGGCTGGTGGGGCTGTCTGTCCGCCCCCCAGTGTCTCTGCCTCTGGCCCCCAGCCCCACTGTGTTAAAGTCAGGCCTCGTAAACTGGGGGAGATGGCCCATGCCTTGTATCACATCCCCTTAATGAAAAGACTGAGAGCTGTTGATTTATTAACTCACTTTGGTCCCACATTAAACTAAATGTGTGTAGCAGTGGGACAGGGACCACCCCTGTAGGGAGTATGGTAGTTTCAGTATGTATAGGGATTGTAGCTTTATCACTTATATGAAGGAATGGTCACTTTAACACCTGCTGTATTTAGATTTTTTTTACATTTTATCCTAGTAGACAATTAAAATAATGCATCACGCTGAATACACATTGTAATCAGACCATTGATGATAGAAAGTCACTTACCTTCTGGCATGGTCCGTTCCAACACGGTGAAGTTGGCAGAGAAGCCCTCCTTGGCGATGGCACTGTCTGTGTTGATTATCAGGGCCAGGATGCCCGTGTAAGAGATGATACGACCAGGGGTGTTCTGACCACAGTACCGCCCAATGTACGGACCAACTGGAGAGAGAGAGAAAGAGAGAGAAAGGGAGAGAGAGGGGGAGATAGAGATAGTCAGTCACCAAGGTTACAACTGAAAAAAAGTATGAAAATGTATGCACTCACTACTGTAAGTCGCTCTGGATAAGAGCGTCTGCTAAATGACTAAAATGTTAAATGTTAAATGTAAGGTGGGAGTGTGTGTAAAGTTAGGAGTTAAGTCAGTATTTGCTCGCCGTAGGTCTGTCACATTGGTGTTCATACACAGTAAACCCACAGAGGTGAGATAACTAGTGTGTTGATGAAGGTCTGAGGAGGACCTAAGACCTGGGGCTGTATTTGTGTTAGACCTGAGAGGGTTTTCACTAAGTAACCTCATAAAGAGGCATGGGAAAAAGGCCTAACATTCGACACCAACATGCCCAAAAAACACAAAGAGATAGAGAGAGGGAGAGAGGAAGAGGGACTCCTTGTTAAGACGAAACAAGGTCGAGGTTTCTGTTTGTTTTGCACCAGTCATAAATTCCTGGGCCTTTTTTAATGCGAGTGATGGTCTGGCCACGGTGGAGAGACTTCTCAAAAGCCACTAAGAACAAGAAAAGGAGGAAAGAAAGACCAAAGAAACAGAGAGATGGAAAAACAAGGGAATAAGAGAATGTCAAAAGAAAAATGCAATAAAAGTCAAACCAGCACACGTTCTACTGAGCACTCTAAATGAGTTTGTGCCACATTGTGTGTGTGTGTTTGTGTGTGTGTGTGCGTGCGTGTGCGTGTGTGTGCATGCTTACGTGCCTGTCTGTGTGTTCCTCTGTCTAGATGTTAAGCAGGTCTGGAGGCCTGGTGCTTATCTCTGATTAGTAAGCCTGTGATCAGTGGCGAGTGAAGGCCAGGCTGCTACCCTGCTCCCCTCTTAACCTAACACCTCCCCTCACTCTGACATGCCATGTACAACCAGGCCTTACAACCAGGCACACAGATGAAAGGGAGCTAGGGCAGGAGTCTGATGGCTCAGATTCATCATCATAACACAGGAAGGAGGTGTGTGTGTGTGTGTGTGTGTGTGTGGTGGGGGGGGGGGGGGGGGGGCATGACTCTCCTAGATTATCTGAATGACTCAACAGCACTATAGAAATGTTAAATGCTCTGCTGTGAACTCTGTGTCTCTGCATGTCTCTATGATCTTGGGGGAGGAGAGAGGAAGGGAGATGGAGAGGGGGGGGGGGGGGGGGGGGGGAGATGGAGGGAGGGGGGGAGGAGAGAGGATGGAGGAGGGAGGAGGGGAGATGGAGGGGGGGTGGGGGGGAGAGAAGGGGAGGGGAGATAGAGGGAGGGGGGAGGAGTGCGCCTCCAGCCTTCCGTGCTAATGCACTACTGATCCAAAAGGCACCACAGGTACTGTACCCAGCCCTCAGACAGGGCCTGACACACAGCATGGCCCCCAGCCTCCCCCTATGTCTCCCCTGTCTCCCCCATGGCCTTCTGCCTCTGCCTCTAGTTTCATGGCAAACTTCCCCATTGTTTATCAAAGATGTCAGTTTTCTTGATGCAATTCACAGAGTGATTAAAATAAAAGTGATAATAATGTGACATAGACTGAGCCCTCAAGGTCTTCACAGCCGGTTTAATCAACACTGTTCTTTTTGGAGAAATTATAGACCTATATCATTCCTGAGGCAAGTCTGGCACTGTTCAAAGCCATTTTAAATTCAATAAGAAACAACAACTAAATCCCAACCTAGACAAAGGGTTTAAGTTGTATCTGGACAGAGAAAGTCCACTCCTGACCGATCAACAGTAGGGTGGAGTACCATCCCTGTCTACATACCATGGCCTTCTCCCAACTGACAAACATAAACAACTCCCCCAACACAATAGGTGACTGTACGGGAAGAAAGGGAGTACAGTAGAGTATCAGAACTAGGACATGTTTGGCATTTAGCCATGATAACTAGGCTGTGTGTCCAGTCCACATTCATTACCCTATTCAGTGTGTTTATATTACCATAGTGTATAATACTAACGCTAACAAAGATACTATATCTGACCAGATATATGACTGTAGCTCACCTCCAGGGAAGCCGTCCCAGATCTCTAGCCTATCGTATCGACAGAAGACCCCGGTGGGAGGAGTGGTGTCAGGCTCCAGCTCGAAGCTCTCGAACTCCAGGGTGATCTCGGACATCTTGGGGGAGAAGATCATGAAGGTGCAGTCCAGGTTGTTGGGATACTTCTCTGGGAAACCAGGTGACCTTATCACCCCGCTGTTAGATGTGAAGTTCCTGGAACATTCCGGACCTGAGAAGAGGAGAGGAAAATAGAGATTTTGAATGGATGTATCCTTTATTAAACTTTGACATCTCTTTTGCAACTGAGAAAGAAGGAGAGATAAAGAAAGATTAAAGAAAAAGAAAGAGGAAGAGAGAGAGAGAGGAAGAAAATAAGATAGAAGAGGATCAAGAAAGGGATACTTTTTAGTGTCTTGTTTTATGGTTTGTGTGTTCCTTTGTGCTTGTTATGGTTTGTGATGGAGAAGCTCTGTGATCCAGCTGGTGCTTTGAGGAGGTGCTTTATGGCCCTGAGAGGGAGACCACCTCAAAATTGCTGTCATTCATTCAATGGGCTGCTGATAGACCAAAGCCTGGACAATACACACCACTCCTCTTTTCTCTCTCTCAGCTTCTTATTCTCTTTCTGTCGTTGACTTCACACTTCTGTATCCCTCAGTGTGTGTGTGTGTGTGTGGGTGTGTGTGTGTGTGTGTGTGTGTGTGTGCTGAATCTGTTGTTGCTGTAACATTTAGGCTGAGTGAGTATAAACATCATAGAAAGGCCTCAATCACCAGCATGGGACTGAATAAACATGCACACACACACACACGCGCACACACACACACACGCGCACACACACACACACCAGCCCCCTCATTACACGTCTGTGTGACATATGAGAAGTGCTTAGAGAAAATGACAGTCTCAGCGATGAGAGGCAAGGGGGGCTGCATACACACACACATACATTTGCCAGTTTTATGTTTTATACCAACAAGTCAAAACATTTACTCATGGCTCTGTGGAGAAAAGGCTTTCAGCTGATGAGGGAAGTGAGCAGATTTCACACATTCGTCATTCTACACAGCATCATGGCCAGACAAGTATGATTTATTAACACTGCTTGACACTTGGCAGGACAAATACCAAAAACTGCATAAAAACAATTTACTGGTATTCTAACTCGAGAGAGACCATTAGCAGTTACGTCTGATGAACGGCACACCATCAGAGAAGACTAAACCATTGTTAACTCATGTTATCATTACAACCATTAGTTGTAGAACTGTGCAGCGGTTAACGTCATGTCCATGTTATTCTGACAACCAACCTTTCCATGGGCGCAGGCTGATTGAGGCAGAGCCATCACCATCCGTGGCTAGCTAGATAGAGCTCTGTATACAAGTGTAACAGCCCACACAGCTTAAGTGAATGTGGCAAACGTTTTTTTCCCTGTTATTTAGTCATCTGCAGGTATCTCACCGGGCCCCTAATTCAGGACCATCAGGACCACTTCAATCTGTCTGACACACTTTGGAAATGAGAGGAGAGTGGCTTATGTCTTGGCTTTTTGGGGGGGAGGGGTAGAGGGCAGGCTGATGGGAAGAATTACATTTTTTATTTAACTGGGCAAGTCAGTTAAGAACAAATTCTTATTTACAATGACGGCCTACCCTGGCCAAACCCGGATGACGCTGGGCCAATTGTGCGCCGCCCTATGGGACTCCCAATCACGGCCGGTTGTGATACAGCCTGGAATCGAACCAGGGTCTGTAGTGAGATGCAGTGCCTTAGACCGCTGCGCCACTCGGGAGCCCAGGGTCAAGGCAAGGCAGGAACACAGGTTCGGTTTGACTGTGATGCGAGTTGACATTTAGTGCTGCTCTGAAAGCTGCTGGTTTTCAAAACAGCGGGTCTGGCCATTAACTTTTCCTTTGGAAAACCAGGAGAGACCAGAGAGCGATTTTAACTTCTCTAAAATATCATTCCCATGGATGTGGTCCTCCAGAACTCTGTTGGCCTCCACTTAAAGTCTGATCCTGGGGTCAGCTGAGTTGGGGGACGGAGGGAGGTTCAGGGGCCCACAGGTGTGTGTAGAGTATAGTGAACCAGACAACCGGCTACTCCATGGAAAGAAGACTTCGACAGCCCTTAAGTGGACTACAGTCTGCTGCTGAGTTCACAGTGGATATACAATTTAAAGAAAGAACAGCTCGATATGGCTTCCAGACTGTAGCTCTGTCTGAGAGGAGTTTTCTGTTTGGTTGCCACTTTCTGTCACTGTTATCACATATGATGTTAGACAAGTGTAGAATTTGGCCAAAATAAAATATTTTCAGACAAAAATGTATAATAAAAAAATAATAATCCTTTCCGATTGTGTGGCTTTGCTCCCAATGCCTGTGTGAGGAGAGGAGAGGACAGCGCTAGCCGCTCGCTAGGACTGCAGGGCTATCTCAATACAGGATCAAAGGACAAAGGGAGTGGGAGAGATGGAACGCTAGGCTAGTGGGTAACAGGAGAGCATGTCTGTCTGTCTCCGCTACGTTCTCTCTGTGTACCATAATTACATGTTATCACAACCACCTCCTCCATCCCGGCTCCATACCTTTTATAGTTTCATTCAGCCACTGAGAAAAGAGGGACAGGGAAGGGCAAACTAGCGGCCATAGTGTGTTTTTGTGTGGGTGTCTAGATGGAATAAAGGAAAGGTCCAGTCTCCCCTGAAGAGATAATCAGAAAACAGATCTCTTCTTGGTCTCATTTTATCTCCTTCTGTACAAGAGGTCATTCCTCAGAAATTCCTCTTGTCTCTAGCTACCTCTCTACCCACGATGCTTTGTGTTGCGTGCATGGTATTTATGTGCTACAGTTGAGCTTTTTACTGTGTGTGTGTGTGTGTGTGTGTGTGTGTTGTCATGTGTGTGTGTGTGTGTGTGTATGTGTGTGGCCAGCTTCAGGAGGCAAATAATGTGGGGTAGATCCGCTTTAATATTGCAGATAGATTGTAACTTCCATCAATGTAATTGTCTGCATCACTTCCAATCCCCCATATGTTTTTTTTTCTCGCAAATAAATGAATAAATATATATATATATATATATATATATATATATATATATATAATATATATAAATAATAATAAATAAATAAATAAATAAATAATAAATAAATAAATAAATAAATATATATTATATATAATATATATAATATATATATACATACATACATACATACACACATTTACATCATTTAGCAGACGCTCTTATCCAGAGCGACTTACAAATTGGTGCATTCAACTTACGATAGCCAGTGGGACAACCACTTTTTTCTTCTTCTTTTTTTATGGGGGGGTGGGGGAGGGGGGGGGGGGGGGTAGAAGTATTACTTTATACTATTCCAGGTATTCCTTAAAGAGGTAGGGTTTCAAGTGTCTCCGGAAGGTGGTGAGTGACTCCGCTGTCCTGGCGTCGTGTACATACATACATACATACATACACATACACATACACATACACATACACATACACATACACATACACATACACATACACATATATATATATACATATATATACACACACACACACACACATACATGTATATATATATATATATATATATATATATATATATATATAGATATATATATATATATATATATACACATACACATACATACACATATACATATCCTTTAAAAAAATATATTCCCCTTTATTACTTTCCAACCCCACCACCCCTTCCCTAATTGGAGTAAACTAGTGAACAACAATGCTTAGGCCTCTACTTTCAGCTTATACATACTATATACATTTTATGGACACAGTCAATTTTACAATAATTTTATTTTGTTTAATGTGGCATTGTTAACCCACAACCCCCTGTCTGTCTCTTTCTGGTTTTGCTACTGTTGTTTGTGAATCGCATCGCCACCGAGAGCCGAGCCGTACTAAGATGCACAGGGTCTGTAAACATTCCAGCTTCTCCCCGAAAAACACAAACTTCTCAGAGCGAAGCTCAGTCGAACGCATCCCAACACCACCCGCTCCTCTACCTGCCAGGGCCCACCGCCACCACACACACACACACACACACGCTTGTACGCAGGCACACACACACACACACACACACACACACACACACACACACACACACACACACACAGACACACACAAACCTACATATCACTTTATCTGAAAGAGATCAGACAGCATGTTGGATTTAAACAAACAGTAGAATTTATGACGGGATGTTGAGGCGAGCTGCAGCCTCGAAAACACAGTGACTACACACCAAATGGCACCCTTTTCCCCAAGGTCTAAAGTAGTGCACTATGTAGGGAATAGGGTGCCATTTGAAACAGTCACTGTTTATGAAAGAATGCTAAGCACTCACTTTGACGTTTACAGGCCTCTGTAATGGCTTCTAGAGGACATCTTTCACACACTTGTATATGTTGAGCTTTATCTCCAGTGGGGGTGGGGTAATGTTACTCCCTCTCTTGTGTAGAGTTATGGGAGTTTATTTAACAGGGCAAAGTCACAGCTTGTTAAATATATCTTTCACATCTTCTAACCTCAAAGTCCCAAAGTGCTAAGGATTTACGTTTCGTACCCAAATCTTCAACAAATACGATTTCAACAGCCAACTTGGGGCCTCTTTCAACATGCTTGTCCCCTGATTACGTTTTCCTTAGGCTAGGTTTTTCTATTTAACATTTCAAAACGTTTCTTTAGATTGTGAAAGGAGACTACTGTAAGACTGTGTGGTTAATCATTGGTTGACATGGCACATGCCTTTGACATGACTGCCCCTCTCTCTCTCTCTCTCTCTCTCTCTGCCTGGTCAGGGTTATTAGGGACCGGGGCCTTAATGTCCTGAGGTGTTGTTCTAAGTCTGCTGAGCAAATCCCTGCTGTTTATTTTCCATGTGTCGATCTGGTTGATAATTAGCCCAGTCCGCCTAATAACTAGCTACTTCTGGATGGACGTTTCCTCCCCTGTAGCTACACTGATAGACGGGTTAATGGGCATTGGAGAGTTACTCTTTGGACACATAATCAAATATTAACCTGAAGCTACAGCTGGGGGGGTGTGTCATTCATTCAAACAAAAACACACACACACACACACACACACACACACACTCTCTCTCTTTCTGACACACTGACAGGCATTTAGCATGTCAACATGCTGATGACATCATTTCTTCCTGTGTTGACAGTTAGGGATGAGACAGAGCATGAATGAGGGGCCTTAAGTATAAAGAGAGAGTTTGGGTCTTAAGTTTCAATGGGGGCTAGGTGTGTGTGTGTGTGTGTGTGTGTGTGTGTGTGTGTGTGTGTGTGTGTGTGTGTGTGTGTGTGTGTGTGTGCGGAGAATGCCTGTGCCAGATGTGACCTGTGCCTATGAGAGCGCTCATGAGATGAAAGCTGAATGGTCCACGTGCCCTGCATCAGTCTCCCCCCTCCCTCCTTCTCTCCTGGGTGTTGACACAGGTGTCCTCGTAAAAAGCGCTCGCATAGCAGGAACATGTAAACGGCTCTGGTCGGTGAAATGTGGAATGATTGGGCTTTTCACTTAAAGGCAGGGCAGAGGACCTCCCTCATCCCCTCCTCTCCCCTCCTTCCCAATCCCCTCTTCAAGTTCCATCCCAGTGAGCAGCATCAGGGAGAGGAGGGACAGAGGGAGGAACATTGGCATGATCCCTGCCTCTCTACCCCTCTCCCTGTCTCTCTTTCTCTCTCGCGCTCTCTCTCGCTCTCTCTTGCTTTGCCCACTTCAATGGGCCCGGCGCCAGGCTTGATGTGGCTCTGAGAGTTACAAATTGCAGAGCTGTTAAGCAGAAGCATATGGCTTCTTTCAGAAGGAGAGGGACCTTTTCTGAGACACTTGAGGAAGACAAGATGACAAGATAAATATAAAGGTTTCTAGTCAGGAAGGATGGCCTGTATGTCTTCTGAAATCCGGACAGGCGGACAATAGTGACCATTTGGGCTAAAGGGGTGGTAGTGGTGGTGGTGGGCTTGGAGGGGTTAGCAGATGATGACTGGAGCTGTATCCTAGTTTAACATATGTTTTGGTGACCCTAGTGGACTCCAGCAGTAGACAACACCAGCGGTACCACAGTTACAGTGCGTTCTCTTTTCTACTTGCCGCTGAGTTGAGTGCAGCCATAAACATATGCTGGGCTTATCCCCTCTCTCAGCTCTCTTTTATTCCTCTCCTCAGCCCTCTAATTCTCTCTCTCTCTCTCTCTCTCTCTCTCGGTTTTCATCATTCACTCTCTTTGACTGTTTTCGGTCAGTGGAGCGAGGCCGACAATTTACTGCCCATAAAATAAATAGCCCAGGCTAATTAAGATCCCTGGATTGAAAAACCAGTGTGTGTGTGTGTGTGTGTGTGTGTGTGTGAGATGTGAAAGGCGGTGGAAGACCACAAGCAACCTGTTTTCTCCCAATTATACATTGCTCTGCTCTGCTGACTGCACCGCTGATGAGAGCCAGTGCTGCGCTCCAGGTTCATCACAGAGAGTCTGTGTCTCTATGCATGTGTGTCTATGCATGTGTGCATGTGTGTGTGTGTGTGTGTGTGTGTGTGTATGTACCCTGTTTCCCATCTGACCTTGACCCCTCATTTACCCCTGACCCCTCATTTACCTATGAACCCATTCTCTGAAGCAGCCCTATAACCTCAAGTCTAGTACTGTACACACGGTATTCCTCCAATCAGACTCATTAAGATGCACGGCATTCCTTGCATTACTTCCCCAGCGCTATCTCAACATCTGCGTATCATCATTAAGTTTATATGTGTTAGCCAACACAAATCTGCTGATGCTATCTGGCTAATACCACCCCGGTGTTGATACGCTTACCTAATCACCGAGCTGGCTGCTCTCTAAACCAAAGGATGGACACTTATGTTCCGTTCCAAATGGCACCCTATTCCCTATGTAGTGCACTACTTTTGAGCGGCACCCTATGGGCCCTGGAGAAAAGGTAGTGCACTAAATATGGAATCGGGCACAATTTGGGACACATCCTTAATTGTTTGATTTATTAGAATTCCCATTAGCCGACGCCAATGGCGACAGCTAATCTTACTGGGGTCCGACACATAACTTTGGTTGAATTGATCTCAAAGCCGCCACCTCGGCGGCAACCGGCTCTGCTGTAGTCAAAACACAGCGCTGGTTTCAAAGCTAAACAAGCTTCTGCTGCCTGGCTGCCACAGAAGAACCGGCCCAGTCTGACTGCACAACCATGATGCCAGCTCTACAGGGGATGGTCCTGGACCAAAACATCCCAGTATGCAGCATCCTGGGTAGTCTCCAGTAGCCTCCAATATTACATATTTTCCTGTCGGTGAAAACACATCTGTATATCAATAGTACATATTTCTCCATATCTCAACGCCCTGCGTTCAGCACTTCTTCCCCCATCCCTCATAGCCCAGGGGCCCTAACACGGCTCATTTCTAATCAGTCCCTTTAATGGATGAGACTGGGAAACACCTCCTCAGAGGAATGTGGTGTGCACAATTGAACTGCTTCATCAACATGGGAATGCTGCACTTCACTGAAGTGTGGGGAGATGTGTGTGAGGCAGCTGGCGTGTGGGCGCATTTACATCAGATCAAAGGGACACACACGCACGCACGGATACACACACATACCCCCCCTTCCACACACATACTCTACCCCTACACACACACACTTCAGAGATTAAAAAGAGGGCCCTGTCAGGGCTTCCATCTTCTCTGAGTGTCTGGGTCATCTCATAAACTAGCTGAGGGTTAATTAATCAGAGTGGCGTCTGCTCTCTGTTGCACCTGTCTGTGTCCTCCTCCCTCCTTCTCTCCCAGTCACTATAATGGAAATCCTTTCCCTAGCCATCCATAAACACAGGAAGCCAAGGCAACAACAGGAAGCTCTGCCTCTTGTTGTGTGATCTTCAGATAAGGAGGAAGAACATCCCCTGAGAGTATTGTTGAGGAAGGAACTTCTCAGGGTTTTCGACGACAGCTGAATATATGAATATGAATTTACCTTATCAGAAGCAGGAAGAGGAGAAAGCTCTTCCTTCATTCAGGTCCTTTAAACCATTGGTGACTCACTTTCTCCACTTAACCATGATGATGTGGTGTCACAAACAGAGAAATACATTCAGTTGCTACAGATGGTTTTTATGGAGAATATTTGTGTTTGTATTTATTAACGATCCCCATTAGCTCCAGCAGCATTAAGGCAGTTATATACACATGGGGAAAAGTATTCCTCTGCTTGTGTGGAGACATATTGTTTAGCATATGTAATACCTTGATGCATTAAGCAGCAGGACTAAATGACAAACAAACCACGAAATGAGGAGAAACATCCTCTTTATGCTAATTAGACTCATGATTAGCTGTCTCGGTCTCCTGTATATCATCCCTCTTCTCCGAAGTGATGTCCCGAGCTGTGTGTTTGGTGTGTGTGTGAGTGTGATGAGATTTTGTGATCGTGTGTGTGTTTCATACACACTCGGTCTCCTCTCACCTGTTTTGAAGACCTCATAGCGGATGGAGAAGCCTGCTCCATGGGTCTCGTAGTCGGACACAAACTTGATGTAGAGCTGGTTCCCAGAAGACACCACGGGTGACGGGGCGATCTTCCCACAGTACTTCCCCACCAGCTGACCATTCTCATCCACGCCATCACGCACCTCCACATAGTCATACCTGGAAAAATAAGAATCTGTCAGTCACATGTTGTATTGGGTAGGTATTATACACACACACACACACACACACACACACACGAGAAGTTGGAAATGATGGAACAACAACCAAGTTTATGTTTTGATTGCTGCTCGTCCCTAATGCAGAGATATCACGCTGCAGTAGTAATGAGATCTACAGGATAAACCCAGAAACAGGTGGGCAGGTTCATATTCCCTCCACGTGGCACAGCTCCACGTTGTTAGATAATGCAGACACTGCAGAGATTCTATAACAATGACTCCCAGCTGTACTAAGTCTAGGTTTACATAACGCTGTTCTGGTGGAGCTGAGAGTGTGTGTTAGGGCTGGTTCTGCCACTGAATAGCTGTCTTCTCCCTGGTAAAGAGCCAGATGCCTAAAGAGAGAAGTGTGTGTGGGATTATATTTGTTTCTGTGTTGTGTGTATGCAATAAATCCACTGGAGGTTGGGCTGGTGTATGTGTGTTTGTTTCTGTGGTGTGTTTGTGTGTGTGTGTATTTTGAGTATATGTCAGTGATCGTATTATACTCCTCGGAGGTACAGTGAGACCACCAGACACAGGTGGAAATGCAATCAGGCGGCAGCCACATTGGGATTGCAGATCATGCACACACACACACACACACACGCACGCTCCACAGCCTACTCAAATGGAATTTCAGACCCAGGGATATTGACGTGAGGAATTGGCTAATTGAGTCAGCACGAAGCTTTAAGACCAGGGAGGAAAGCGCCTTCAGAATACGAATGGGTAGCAACGTAGCAACGGGAGCCATGCGTGTATGCATGTGCTGTAGAGATGAATACTCCATGCTTTGTTTTCATTGTGATTGACAGGCAGAGTACAGTAAGGGGAGCTGTGTGGGGTCAGGTTACCATGGTATTTAATCACCCATAATGCCCATTCCCAATGAATTCAGCTCAGTGGGGCACTTATCTAATGTATCCCTGCTCAAACCTCATGACCTGTTGTCTTCTCCCTCCTATCCTCCTTCTCATTATTGTCAACCACTAAAAACACATAACCTAGACCCAGCTACTTAGTGCATCCGTACACACACTGCTAGCTGGCGCAACTTGCACGCACTCAACTATGCTAAAATATGTGCCTCCTAGGCATACTGTAGAAGGGGTAGGCATTCTTAGTTTGGCTACACCCTGATCCCCAAATTACTGTCAATACACTTTCACTTTAACAGTTACTGCATATGGTATTTACACAATATATGATTTAGGCTACACTGTGAGTGATGGGTTGGGATAGGGGGCTACACCTCGGGTGGAAGGAGACAAGTATCCACATGATCCACCCTCCACTCCAATCAAATGGTTTCTTTCACCTGCCTTGAATTATACTTAAATGGGGTATTTGTGACATTTTAAGGAAGGCACCACCCGGCGACACAGGAGAGGGGAGCACACAGTGGATCATTAGAAAGTGGTTATATCTACTGTAAATCATATATTTCTGTGGTGTGGTGTACAATTTGTTCAGTATCCCCTTCTGTAACAGATTCTCTGTGAGGTAATATTGGTCTCTCTCCTCTCTCTGCAGGCTGAATCGGCCCTGTCCATTCCACAACTCACAGCACAGACGGCATCAATCTTCTGCAGCACTGTTCTGTTGTGTTCTATAATTCACCTCTCTTACTCTGGTACATCATCGGCTGCCTCAGAAGACCTCATAAAGACGGCGCAGTGGGAGAGAGGATGTAGTTGGAGGGATGGAGAGACAGAGGAGTCGAATGAACGAGGGAATGAATGAGGGAATGGAGGGAAACGAGCCCTGGGGCGTTCTGTCTGCTTACTAGGAAAAAGAACAAGAGTTCTTCATTGCTTCAACAATGTCTGGCCCTGGGCCTGCTGTTAGCTGGGTGGTTGTGTTTCAACAGGTCCATGGTGGTTCTGTGACCTAGCCCAGGCTGTTGTCATCTGGAAGGCATTATAGGATCGTTTGCAAGGCTGGACAACACAAAGCCTCAGAACAACTTTCGATTGCCAGCCATATTAAAACCTTTTACTGCAGTGGGCTAAATCAGGTTGGTAGTCTTAAACAAATATACTTTCAAACAAAAGTATACACCTCACACACATGGTTATGGGCTTAAAAAAAAAGAAGACACCTGTACCATGTCAGATATAGAGTTGAAATGTTGAGTTTGCATCCCAATATTAGACTTTATATACACATCAAAGAAGACTGAAATATAACAAAACCGTTAGACATAGAAACACTGGATTTTCGGCGTGTGTGTGTGTGTTTGGGAGACCTCTGAAGTGAGGGAGGTCTGTTAACAACAACCATAATGTCTGACCCAAAGACCCAGGACAGGCAGATGCCCTTAGAAGGGAATACCGTTCTCATCCAAACACAATAGTGGTGGCCTACTTTTTAAGCCTGGACAGTCCTCCTGCTGCTCTCCATTCATCATTTAATTTAACAACTCTCCTCAGGCTCCACAAAGTTAAATTTGGACCCCCACAGAGACAGTATAATAATTTGTTATGTTGCATGTTGTCATCGTTGTTTTCCCGTATAGACAATAGGATCTGAGCCATGCCCCAGCTATAACCTTCATTCATCTGTCTGCTCCACTCCAGCCTGGATGTACCTCCCACAAAGCTAATAGTGAAAATGGTCTGCCAATCCAGAGGGGAAATTAAAAGCAAAAAGGGATGAATCTAATTCTCCCCGACCGTCGCTTCAGCGCCTCCAAATGTATTACCCTGCCTTCTTACAGCGGGGAGCGAGAGAAAGCAATCCTGCTGTGTCAAACGGGAACATTAGCCCACCTCACACAGCCCAAGAGGAGGCGATGAACCACAGGCTAACAATATAACACAGTTTTAACTGCCTTGAGCTTTCCATTTTAGAAATGATTGTCTCTCTAGCTCTATATAAAAGCATATGATATGGGATATGATCCTGGTTAATAAGGAATAATGTTATAAAGCGCTGTTAAAGCTTGATACAATAGGTTACAGTTCCTTAAATCAGGCCCATTTATAAACATAAGTCCATGACCTAGTAGAAAGCTATAAAACTGTGGTATAACTGTGTCAAAACAAATTGTCAAAGATTACATTCCAAATGGCAGCCTATTCCCTATATAGTGCACTACTTTTGACCAGGGCACATGGGGCATTAGGGAATAGGGTGCCATTTAGGACGCAAACCAAGTCTGTTCTCTTGTGTTTCTCTTTCTAGACCTGTCGCTAGGGCTAATAATCACACCAAAAACATGTCACCTCCAAACATTTCAAAACAACTCTCAGGACTAAACAAACTAAAGTGGTCCAAACAACAGAACTGATCTGGGACAGCTCAGTTCAGTGAGGCCTATAGGCTACGTCCTAAATGGCACCCTTTTCCCTATATACAGTGGGGAAAAAAGTATTTGAATTTATTTGCAAATTATGGTGGAAAATAAGTATTTGGTCACCTACAAAAAAGCTAGATTTCTGGCTCTCACAGACCTGTAACTTCTTCTTTAAGAGGCTCATCTGTCCTCCACTCGTTACCTGTATTAATGGCACCTGTTTGAACTTGTTATCAGTATAAAAGACACCTGTCCACAACCTCAAACAGTCACACTCCAAACTCCACTATGGCCAAGACCAAAGAGCTGTCAAAGGACACCAGAAACAAAATTGTAGACCTGCACCAGGCTGGGAAGACTGCATCTGCAATAGGTAAGCAGCTTGGTTTGAAGAAATCAACTGTGGGAGCAATTATTAGGAAATGGAAGACATACAAGACCACTGATAATCTCCCTCGATCTGGGGCTCCACGCAAGATCTCACCCCGTGGGGTCAAAATTATCACAAGAACGGTGAGCAAAAATCCCAGAACCACACGGGGGGACCTAGTGAATGACCTGCAGAGAGCTGGGACCAAAGTAACAAAGCCTACCATCAGTAACACACTACGCCGCCAGGGACTCAAATCCTGCAGTGCCAGACGTGTCCCCCTGCTTAAGCCAGTACATGTCCAGGCCCGTCTGAAGTTTGCTAGAGTGCATTTGGATGATCCAGAAGAGGATTGGGAGAATGTCATATGGTCAGATGAAACCAAAATAGAACTTTTTGGTAAAAACTCAACTCGTCGTGTTTGGAGGACAAAGAATGCTGAGTTGCATCCAAAGAACACCATACCTACTGTGAAGCATGGGCGCAGTGGTCTAAGGCGCCGCATCGCAGTGCTAACTGTGCCACTAGAGATCCTGGTTCGAATCCAGGCTCTGTCGCAGCCGGCCGCGACCGGGAGACTCATGGGCGGCGCACAATTGGCCCAGCGTCGTCCAGGGTAGGGGAGGGAATGGCCGGCAGGGATGTAGCTCAGTTGATAGAGCATGGCGTTTGCAACGCCAGGGTTGTGGGTTCGATTCCCACGGGGGGCCAGTATAAAAAAAAAAAAGAAAAAAAAAAAAAGATATGTATTCACTAACTGTAAGTCGCTCTGGATAAGAGCGTCTGCTAAATGACTTAAAATGTAAAATGTAAAATGTAAAATCTTTGGAGGGAGTTGAAAGTCCGTGTTGCCCAGCGACAGCCCCAAAACATCACTGCTCTAGAGGAGATCTGCATGGAGGAATGAGCCAAAATACCAGCAACAGTGAGTGAAAACCTTGTGAAGACTTACAGAAAACGTTTGACCTGTGTCATTGCCAACAAAGGGTATATAACAAAGTATTGAGAAACTTTTGTTATTGACCAAATACTTATTTTCCACCATAATTTGCAAATAAATTCATTAAAAATCCTACAATGTGATATTCTGGATTTTTTTTCCTCATTTTGTCTGTCATAGTTGACGTGTACCTATGATGAAAATTACAGGCCTCTCTCATCTTTTTAAGTGGGAGAACTTGCACAATTGGTGGCTGACTAAATACTTTTTTCCCCCACTGTAGTGCCCCTATATCGTGCACTAGTACCCTATGGGCCCTGGTCAAATATAGTACATAGGGTGCGATTTTAGATGCCGCCTCAGAGAGTTCTAGATGGGATTTACAGGAAAAGCCTGTTGTCAGCTGTCAAAAAAATCTGTGTTCTGAGATCTGAAATCCTGCTCAAGTGCTAGCGAGACGTCAGGGCTAACAAACTGTCACTTAGGACTGGAGCATAACATCATTACCGTTTGTACAAGGAGGTCGCCGGCCGAGACAAGTTTATCTCCATCCTTCTTTTTCCGAGCCTGTTATTTGAACAGTGAGAGACAGAACAACAACAAAAAAATCCAGAAAAACGCATGTCAAAAATGTTATAAATTGATTTGCATTTTAATGAGGGAAATAAGTATTTGACCCCTCTGCAAAACATGACTTAGTACTTGGTGGCAAAACCCTTGTTGGCAATCACAGAGGTCAGACGTTTCTTGTAGTTGGCCACCAGGTTTGCACACATCTCAGGAGGGATTTTGTCCCACTCCTCTTTGCAGATCTTCTCCAAGTCATTAAGGTTTCGAGCCTGACGTTTGGCAACTCGAACCTTCAGCTCCCTCCACAGATTTTCTATGGGATTAAGGTCTGGAGACTGGCTAGGCCACTCCAGGACCTTAATGTGCATCTTCTTGAGCCACTCCTTTGTTGCCTTGGCCGTGTGTTTTGGGTCATTGTCATGCTGGAATACCCATCCACGACCCATTTTCAATGCCCTGGCTGAGGGAAGGAGATTCTCACCCAAGATTTGATGGTACATGGCCCGGTCCATCGTCCCTTTGATGCGGTGAAGATGTCCTGTCCCCTTTGCAGAAAAATACCCCCAAAGCATAATGTTTCCACCTCCATGTTTGACGGTGGGGATGGTGTTCTTGGGGTCATAGGCAGCATTCCTCCTCCTCCAAACATGGTGAGTTGAGTTGATACCAAAAGAGCTCGATTTTGGTCTCATCTGACCACAACACGTTCACCCAGTTCTCCTCTGAATCATTCAGATGTTCATTGGCAAACTTCAGACGGGCATGTATATGTGCTTTCTTGAGCAGGGGGACCTTGCGGGCGCTGCAGGATTTCAGTCCTTCACGGCGTAGTGTGTTACCAATTGTTTTCTTGGTGACTATGGTCCCAGCTGCCTTGAGATCATTGACAAGATCCTCCCGTGTAGTTCTGGGCTGATTCCTCACCGTTCTCATGATCATTGCAACTCCACGAGGTGAGATCTTGCATGGAGCCCCAGGCCGAGGGAGATTGACAGTTATTTTGTGTTTCGTCCATTTGTGAATAATCGCACCAACTGTTGTCACCTTCTCTTGGCGATGGTCTTGTAGCCCATTCCAGCCTTGGGTAGGTCTACAATCTTGTCCCTGACATCCTTGGAGAGCTCTTTGGTCTTGGCCATGGTGGAGAGTTTGGAATCTGATAGATTGATTGCTTCTGTGGACAGGTGTCTTTTATACAGATAACAAACTGAGATTAGGAGCACTCCCTTTAAGAGTGTGCTCCTAATCTCAGCTCGTTACCTGTATAAAAGACACCTGGGAGCCAGAAATCTTTCTGATTGAGAGGTGGTCAAATACTTATTTCCCTCATTAAAATGCAAATCAATTTATAACATTTTTGACATGCGTTTTTCTGGATTTTTTTGTTGTTATTCTGTCTCT